TTGTTGCCAAATGTACCAAGTCGCGGGGAGTTGGGGGGGGCGGCAGCCCCCCCATGATGCTCAAAGAAGTGATGATTGAAATAGGCGTGCAATGCAACCTAGGTGGAACATCAAGGAGTGTTGATTCAAAGATTGCGGGCGGATGTTCGAAGTGATGATTCGAGTAGAGGCGCAGGTAAAGCTTGTTGCCAAATGTACTAAGTAGGGGGGGGGTTGGGGGGGGCGGCAGCCCCCCCCCATGATGCTCGAAGAAGAGCTTGTTGCCAAATAAACTAAGTAGCGGGGGGCTTGGGGGGGGCCCCCATGATGCTCGAAGAAGTGATGATTCAAATAGGCGCGCAATGCAACCTAGGTGGAACATCAAGGAGTGTTGATTCAAAGATTGCGGGCGGATGTTCGAAGTGATGATTCGAGTAGAGGCGCAGGTAAAGCTTGTTGCCAAATGTACTAAGTAGGGGGGGGTTGGGGGGGTGGCTGCCGCCCCCCCCATGATGCTCGAAGAAGGAGCTTGTTGCCAAAGAAACTAAGTAGCGGGGGGGTTGGGGGGGGGGCGGCAGCCCCCCCCATGATGCTCGAAGAAGTGATGATTCAAATAGGCGCGCAATGCAAACTATGTTTCAAGGGTGAAGGAGTGATGATTCAAAGATTGCGGGCGGATGTTCGCAGAAATGATTCGAGCAGGGGCGCAGCTAAATCTTGGTGCCAAATGTACCAAGTAGCGGGGGGGTTGGGGGGGGCGGCAGCCCCCCCCATGTTTGAAGAAGAGTTGATATTCAAATAGGCGTGCATGAAAACCCTCGGTGGGAAACATCAAGGAGTGATGATTCAAAGATTGCGGGCGAATGTTCGAAGTGATGATTCGAGTAGAGGCGCAGGTAAAGCTTGTTGCCAAATGTACTAAGTAGCGGGGGGGTTGGGGGGGGCGGCAGCCCCCCCCCATGATGCTCGAGGAAGAGCTTGTTGTCAAATAAACTAAGTAGCGGGGGGCTTGGGGGGGGCGGCAGTGATGATTCAAATAGGCGCGCAATGCAAACTATGTTTCAAGGGTGAAGGAGTGATGATTCAAAGATTGCGGGCGGATGTTCGGAGAAATGATTCGAGCAGGGGCGCAGCTAAATCTTGTTGGTCCTGCCGTTTCGGGTGGTCCACAGTCTTCTTTCAGGCATTCTTTGCGAACGACCGAAATACAGTCATGTTACTGTTGCTGGCTGCTGCACGTGTCCGACAATCTGACATGAAGCTGCAATCGAACAAACAAACTTGGGGCCCGACATCCATGTCAGGCAACTACGCCAAACAGCCTCGTACTGTGGAAGCTGGCACAGGTCAGCCTCGCATATATTCATCTTCTGCGAAATTGTCTTTGCGTTGGAAATGGTTGTCTCGAGCTCCAGCGAGAATTCAAGGATGGTCTGGGTTTGGTCCACGGAAAAGTCATTGGCAGTGTTGATCCGCGTCTCACTCAGCAGTTCGCTGTCAAGTTTCCCGCTCAAATTGGAAACCCAATCCGGAATACTGGTGCGCGGCGGCTGCTTGCCTAGCCTGTCCAGCAAAGCTTTCTTGATGCTCTCAAGAACCTGTGAAGTCTCCTCCATGCAGGCTGACAACGCCTGCCAAACGCGGTCAACTGAGATGACTGCCGGGGAGTCAGTAGGCAAGGACGCCACTCGCGACGCCAGCACGAAGTCTGTCAATGTCTGCTTCGTTTCATCTGCCGCCTGACCCCGTAGCTTCCAGCACCGAGAGATGCTATCGAAAAGGAGGTCACCCTTGCTGGGGTCGGCGGCCAGATCTTCAGGATTGCAAGAGTCAAGACTGCAGGCGCACAGCAGCACAGTTTCTAGCAGCTTCAACCCTTCCCGGATCTTGGGGCCGTCCTCCTGCAAAACAGACGACATGAGGTTGGCCTGCTCCATGTGCTTGTAGAAAGCATCGAACTGCTCCTTGGTCACTGCTTGATCGCCCTTCTCAGAATTGAGCACAACTGTGGTCAGCAAGGTGTTGCACTTGTAGACTGCATCATGCGCCTGGGTGTGCACTTGGCCCTGCAATGACTTCCGAACGCTGTTGGTGAGTTGGTCAAAGCGGCTCATCACCGTGATCGGACCCAAGTTGTCAACTGAGCGGAGCAAAGCTGCAAAGCTAGCAGACTTACTCTCCCAATCCGCCAAGGCAGCCTGGCACGCAGTTGCGTCAAGCTCGCCCGCCAAGGCTGATGTCAGCTTAGCAGCAAGCTGAGGCACGTAGGTCGCGCACATATCAACCAACTCCTCAATGAGCTTTGCATCAGCCATCTTCCGCAAGAACAGGATGCAAGAAGTTGACGGCAGCAGGTTGGCTGCCGCCAGCTTGCTGCTTTCTGCGTCGGTCTCGCGCAAGGCGGTGTCCAAGGAAGTCAGGAAGGGTAGGATGTTGAAGTGGGCAAACGAGCTCACAGCAGACCTGCTCCAAGAGAGACTGCAACTCGGTCACCTTTGCCCGGTCCGAGCCCTTCAAAGCTTTCACGCCAGGGTCCGCAATGAGCCTGTGGGCTGCCGCAAGACTTTCACCTTCTCGCTCAGAAAGCACATCGTCGTGCGCCTGCCGCTCAAAAAATGGAGGCATTGCAGGCCCAACATGGTGTTGCACTAAGGTCTGAATTAAGGGATCCTCAAGTAAACTTCATCACGATGAGCATCTCTTGTTTCTAATATGTGCAAAACGCTTGAACATGGCAGCTTCAATATCCTTTCAAACCCAAGCTCTCATAAACCAGGCCAGAAACGGCAGAGAAAAAGCAGCGGAAAGGGCTGAAATGGAAAACACTGGCGAAATTTCGGCTAACAAGGGGGGACCCGCGGTGAAAAAAGAATCATGAGGAAATGAAAGGGGAACAATAGGAAAAAAAAAACAAAACACCATACATTCAAGATAAACAGACAAAGACACATATACTTTGCATAAACAAAAACAGAAAGCAGAAACTGAAAGAGTCAAAGAGAAGATAAAAAAGCAGAGAGAGGGAAAGGGAAAGGAAAGTAAACAGAAAGAGAGAGAGAGAGAGAGAGAGAGAGAGAGAGAGCGAGAGAAAGAAACACATGAAGAGAACAGGAAAGCGAAACAGAAATAGAGAAAGACAAAGAAGAAAGAGAAAGAAAGGGCCAAGAAACAGAGGGTAGAACTTGGACGCCGAAGAGAAAACAAAGAGAGCTCGGCAGCATCAAGATAAACAGAAGAACCGCACACAGAAAAGATAAATAAGAAGATGAACAGGAACAAGAAGAGATCCATCCAAAACAAGGAGACGGTGGCCATCCCGCCTCGGCGCGCTCCTTGATCGCCTTCAACTCGGAAGATGATGTGGCAAACGCTTCCAGGAGGCTGTCGCTGTCCTGTCGTTTTTGCGCGTTGTCACGCGCGCACTCCATGACCCGCTTGCCTTTCTCCAGGCTGAAGGCTTGCACAAGCCAGTGGTGGGACAAGGCCACATTGAGGGTGGCGCAAGCTGCAAGAACTCGAGAAGGAGGTGCCGCAAGGTCAAGGACTACAAGAATCGACTGGATTGCCAATTTGTCATCCTCGTCCGCCTGCGTTGTTGCCCTGATGGTGTCTGCGTGAGCCTGCATAGACTCCATGAATGCTCGCAGGTACTTCAAAACCTCGCGAGTGAGGAGCTTGGTTACGTTGATGGTTTTTACCAATCGCTGGGTCAACTGAGAAGCCAAAAGGACGAAGAAGGGGCCCGCATTCTCCGTGAGGGAAGAGATGGTCAGCTGATAGGTCGCAGAGAAGAAATTGTCCCACTGAGCAGTCTTCAGGTCCTGGCACGGAGCATGGCCGCGCAAAACTGTTTAACAGCTCAGACACATCACGTAATAGAAAACAAAAAGCTAAATTGGCTAAAATACGTTCGCAATGCTCAGTCCTCCATGGCAACGCCCTTTAAGCAACGCTCCCACGCAGCTTCAAAAGCTTTGAAGGCCTGGTCGGTGTCCAGGCGAAGACGAACCTTCTCAAAGGGCTCCCGGCCCTCAACTGTTGCACTCATGAGCGTCTTGATGAGCGCAGTCAAGGCGTTCAATTCCTCAATCATCTCCTCAAGTGGCGCCAAAAACTCCGTCGGGCTTCCGCCTTTGCGCCTCCCAGCGCTTTTCTTTGTATTTTGCATCCCTGCTTTGAGCTCAGAAATCTTGGCCAGACGAGCCCGTCCCCACTGCGCGATGGACGCGTCGTCGGAGGCGCCAAGGTCCAAATCCTTCAACGAAGCAAGTTGTGCTGCGTATGCCTCAATGATGGCTTCGTCATCCTTTGCACCATCGTTGGCCACAATGCCATCAGCGCCATCTGCATCTGGTTCAACTGTTGCGCCCTCAGGATGAAGCGCTGGCTGCGCGTCTGCCCCAGAAGTGACGGTCACCGCAAGAGAGTTGTCCCTGACACGCGCCGTCTGCTTCAACGCAGCAGCGTGAATTGTGTCATTCTGCTCTGGAGACAGGACAACTTCTGAATTGTTGAGGACAGTCAGAACAACTAAATATCTCATTTAGTTACCTGCATCCACGTGTTGAAAACAGCTTTATCCAAAATCAGCAAAGAATAGTTATTTACAGGCTACAGGCCCTTCTTGAACTGGCATGACCCGCTTGGAAGCCTTCTGCTCTGTTTCGAGTTTTGACCCCTGCCAAGTTAGCTAAATCGTGTAGGAACCGAAACAGCTGCGAACGATCATGCGTTCTTCTCGTCAATCACATCGACGCCGGTCACCATCTTGCCATTGTGCAATTGAGTCTTGATGTCTTTGGGGTTTGCAGCCCCAAAGCGTTTCTCGTAAACGTCCAGCCTCATGAACTTGACCGGCGGGCCTGCTAGGCCCTGGCGCCTGCCCTCTGTGACCGAGATCTTTTCATCCAAGAGCGGCTTCTTCGAGCCTCAAAAGGGGCCCGGAATTCAGGCACTTAAGGACCATGACTTGTCCAAAAATTTGGGGCCATGGCTGAGAATACGGAAACTGGAAACCAAAAGGTGGCTTTGGGAAAGCAAGGAACTCGTCACCCTCAAGGATGGATTTTCGCGCTTTAGCTCGATGAGCTGCTCGCGCTGTGCCAGGAAGCGGTGGTTCAGCGTTGGCTGGCCATCCAAAACCTTGTCCATCGCAGCAATGCTGCCGTGCTCTGTAAGCCATCCTCCCAGCTCTGCGGTCTGCAGGGTTGAAGCGGGCCCCAACTCCAACCACAACTCGTCACCCACCGTATCACCCTGATTATGGGTTGAAGTTGAAACACATGACACATTTAAACCCCGTTGTTGAAATTGAAGCTTGACACTCAAAACATTGACCCTATCGTTAGGCCTAGCGGGAGGCTTGAAGGTTGAGAACCAGCGCCAAAGCAACAAACCAGTTGATTCCAAAACGTCGAGGGCCAAATGCCCGGGTGTGGCCCCCAATAGTTGCCCCAGCTCTCCAACGAGTGCGTACGCCGCGCACGCACACGTGCACGCACCCTGCACGGGCCTGCGCTCGCACCCGCGCCCGCACCCGCGCCCGCACCCTGCGCCTGCACCCGCGCTCGCACCCGCACCCGCACCCGCACCTCCACGCGCACCAAAGCTGATATTTCCAGAATTAGCGGCTGATTCAGCCGCTAATCCTGAAATCAGCCGCTATATAATCTGGGTGCAGGTGCGGGCGCGGGCAGCGGCGCGGGGTGCAAGGTGCGGGTGCGGGTGCGGGTGCCGGTGGGTGCGGGTGCGGGTGCGGGTGCAGGCGCGAGCGTGTGCGCGACGCGGGTGTGTGGCTGGGGGCGGGGTGGGCGCTAGTACTTGCACAGGGCGCCCGTTTTCTTCTGGACCTGGCACGCCTAGCGAAGCCAAAGCGCAGCGTCCTGGATCTTGGAGTTTGGAGTGTTAGCCCCGCAAACCTGCGATTTCACTTTTAGCCTGACAGCCGGCCTTTCTGCACATGAGGCAATGGGCGCCCGACGGAGCCTGCCATGATCCTGCTTCCCACGCACTCACATGGCCCCACTTCTTCTCCGGGCCGGCAGACTGGTCGTAAGGGGCCTTGTCACTGTTCCAAACACCACAGCGCCGGCAGCGCTTAAACTTGAAGGTCTCTGGATAAGTGCCCTTCTGGAGGCAACGGGGCATCACCAACCATCGTTGCCTTCGAGCGAGTGGACATTCACACTCAAGGAAGTTGTAAGTCAAGATTGATACGCGCTCTGGAAGCGCACGTTGCAAAAGCCCAAAAGACGCTGCGGCTGCAACTGTGAACCGTCAACCTGGCACCTACCTCCAACTTATGCAAATCAAGACACGTCAGCGTCAGTGTGGCTTGTTGGCTCAAGACGATTCAAGGAAATATTTTTTCCCCGCTCCTGCTCTCCCCGCAGTACCCCAACATACGGCTCTGCAGCCACGCTTGCACGATCTGATCAACCTCTGTTTCAGCGAGGTTCTTCTGCGAATTAAGCAATGCAAAAACATCTCTCACCTCGTCACAAACGGGTCAAACCTTGGAAGTCGCAACGCACAGCACGCCGGCCACCACAAGTGTCGCACCTGACATCGACACTAAACCAGGCCAAAGAGCTGACTCTTGTGCAACTGCATAGCCACTGCAGCATCCGCGGCTCACAGTTGCTACTGAGGCGCTTTGCTGAGACCATCACCACGCATTTGGAATGAGAACCTCAATGCGGAATGGAGAAGTCACTCACTTGACACAACTTGCTATTGAAAACTGCAATTTCACGCGAGCCAGACAACTCAGCTGCACAACTCGCCTGGGGAACAGGCCACACCGGATGGATATAGTATGCTGGGGCGTGTCCTTTCGCAACTCTGTTATCCGTCCTCAGCTGCGCGAAATGACATCCTCCGCCGTGGCAACTTGAAACTGGTGCGACCAATGCAAGTAGGGCGCCAAGCGGGTACGCCTTCTCAGTTTCGGGGTTGAACACCCAGCAATACCCATCCGAATCTCTCCAAGGATGCGTGCGGCTCTGGATTGGAATGGTGGGAAGGTTCGAAGTTGGAACTTGAGCTGTTTTTGATGATGATGGTACTGCGGCAGCTGCAGGCGGCGCTTGAGAGGCATTCATCTTGCGCTTGGGCTGACATGCTTGTTCGTGGGTGGTGTCTGCGATTGGGCCCAGCTGTGCGTCTTTCGCAGATAGCCACTCCGAAGCAATTTCCGAGTCCACACGGCCTGCAGCACCATCGTCCAGCACCCCAGCTTCTGCTGCTGTTGCTGCTGCTGAAGCATGTCTTGATTGCTCTGCTGCCGAGGCGCGCTTCGGCTGAGGCTGCTTCTTGGGCAATGTTGCTGCAGCGCTCGCATTTGGCGGCGCTTTTGCTGTTGCCTTCGGTCTTGTTGCTTTTCTCTTTACTGCTTTTGCCTTTGCTTTGCTCCTGTTCAGGGCTTGGTGAAGTAACGCTAGCCGATCGGCCGCATCGTCAGAGATGTCGCCGCCGTCACAACCAGAATCAGAGCCTGCGGCTGCCGCTTCCTGTGCGTTGAGCGCGTCACGCACAGCCTGCAGCGTTGCAGGGCGCAGCCGAATCTCGCGAAGGGAGGTGGCCTCGTACTCCACAGTTTTTAATGTCAACGACTCGATGCCAGCAATGCCCGCAAACTCCCAGATCAACGCTCGAAGGGTGCGAAACACAACCCGCCCATCACGAACAACCAGCTCTGCCGCCCAATCATCATGGCTGACCATTGTGTACTCAACAGCTGTGGCGTCAAAAGGGCTGAAGGAAACCTGGATAAGCAGATGTATTTGGACAATGTCTGACTCTGCCATTTGGCCGCCAGCAGTGTCCTCGGGCTCTTGGCGCAGCAAGATAGGGACATGCTGCGGCACGTAGCCATGTTTTCGCCGAACCCCCCTCGCTAGCCGAAAAACATCAAGCGCTCTTTGTTCTAAGTTACTGTACGCAGGCCTTGATTGAAGCTGAGAGCAACAAAGCCCTGGGCACAGCAACTGTTGACATTCATCGTCGTTCGGTGCACTTGCTGCGAAATTGGGCAGCATTGTCACGCAACCAGTTACCCTTGTGGCTCAACCTAGCATGCTCAACTGCTGCCTCAGGAATTGCGAAGCATTCATCTCCAAGCTCTGCGACATTGGAAATAAGCGTAGGCGCGCGTGATGCGCTGGGCTGAGTGAACAATTGCGCGATTGGTTGAGCTTGCTCGCCTTCCGCGACACCTGCAGCACCAATGTCCGCCGCCGGGCCTTCGACCACCGACTGGTTGCGGAGGTGCGCAGACCGTGCCTGCTTGTTGAGCGTGATTGCCAATGCTTTTCTTTCCTGAGATTGATCACGAAACTGGTCACATAACTCAAGGCTCAAGCGTTGGGTCATGGGTCGAATTTGATCATCTGATCTATGTATTAATTAGCCTGTCAAGAAAAACACGGAGTACTACTGCTTTTTGGAAAAACACGGAGAACTGATCATCCTGGATTTCATGGTCGTCGCTCCTGAAAATGAGCATACGCTCCTTGAAACGACGTTGCGCTCCTGATTTCTGTCAATTCCTGAAACCCAACCCAAAGTAGCGCACGCGTGTAGTCCTGTAAAGATATAGGGAGATTGCAGCCATAGCCTGGCATGCTTTAGATGCAGGGATGAGTCCGATGGGATCCTTCTAGACTTCTAGAGGCAGCTTGGAGAGCACACTCACGAGGGTGTGGAGAAAGCTGCGGTCTGAAACCCAGCTTTTCAAAATCCGACAGCACGGAGTAGTTTCCGGAGACTAGCTGAAACCCTGACATTTGACTTTGAACCTTCGCACTCAATTGGCCGGAACATGACACCTTACTTTTGCAGGCTTGTCTTGAATCTGGCCGTGGCGCCTTATACACTGTAAGCTGGTGTGAGGGGCTAACTTGGTGTTATTTTGCCTAGACAAGGAGAAGCACCACAACCTTCGAACGCTCGTAAAGGGGAGTTATGGTGCGCGCACACCATTTTTGTTGGCGAGCATCCAATTCGGAAAAACCCTGAGCATTGTTGCGCGCGATTGGTTAGTTTTGCCGCTCCTGGTTTTTCATCATGTCTACTGCTTTTTGACCATCGCAACTGCTTTTCAAGTTATGAGGCCCAGACCTACTGAAACTACTACTTTTCCCAAAAGCGCTGAGAAAAAGCACGGAGGACTGGATTTCACTAACAAGTATCTGGAGTTGGGAGGTCCAGGTATAACATTAATTCTGTGTCTTCACAGTGTGCTAGACTTGCTGCAAAGCGCGCACACTCCGGTCCACCAAACATTACATCGCACGCAAATCATGAGCTACCGCTGCAGTTAAGACAAGTTGGCAAGTACAGCCCCAGTACGGCCCTGTAAGGCGTGGCAAGTGTCTTCTTGCTCTTGCAATGGCAACTCTTTCCACATATCCTGAGCCTCTCGCCACACCCG